ACCTTTCTTTCCGCATAAACACCATGATTAAGTCATCCTTGAAAACCTATGTTTGTCAGCAGCAACCTTGTACCTTGCATTTATTAACCATAGTGACATATGTCAATCTAGAAACGGTTTGAGTTATCATAAGGTTGTTATAAGTGTAGTGACATGTGTCAACATTAGAGTTGTTAAGGTAGTTATAAGGAATAAGTTGGTTAAAGAGTAATATAGTAAATACATCATGTATTGGTTACTATATAACCAAAGTTCTCAAGACATATTGTACTAAGGTGTAATAATTTCATTTCAAAGATATCAAAAACTCTCTTATCTCCCGCTCATTACTTTCAGCTTCTTCTTTCTCTTAAGCGTTTCAGTTCAGAGTTTTAGTATAGTTAATATGGTATCATCGTTGGCAAAGGCTAGCTACCATTTCTGATCCTTGGAGTATTCCGCTGTACAATTCCGCTTTTGGGGTCTTCGATCTTGGATGAGCTTTCGGTTGTTGAGTTTCTACAAAAAGGGTTTTCAGATGATTCTCTCAACAAGTCTGAGATTAAAAAGCGAAGCAGTTTTCAGGTGAAATTGTTCTTGTTTTCTTCAGTATTCATGTAGCAATTGATGTGATTCTTGATTTGGGAAAATTCTAATTGGTTGTTCAAAGATTAAAGATGTTAAATTTCATGTGCAAATTTAGAGGTTTTGCAGTTTCCAGCTCATTTACATGATTTCCTATTAATTTCTGATTTAGAATTGATTTGTGAAAGAAGTATTTTCAAGAAAGTGTCAATCCTTCTTAGAATATAAGAAAGTGTCAATCTTTCTTGATCAATCGGCAAGTGTCATTCTTTCGAGATAGTAAACAGTTTCTGTGAGAAAGTATCAATCTTTCTTAAATTTTGAATTTTCTTGAAAGTGTCATTGTTTCTTGAATTTCTTTGTGTTAATCTGAAAGCAATTTGATCATGGCTACTATAAATATCAAAGTTGAGAGTCTTTTGGGTATGCTCACTATAAAGCTGAGGGATGATAACTTTGCAAAATAGGCATGTCAGTTTCAGTCAATTTTGAAAGGTTATAAGATGTTTGGTCACTTTGATGGAATACCGTTTGTCCACTTTGATGGAATACTGTTTGTCTACCAAAGTGTGTAATTGAAACTAAAAAAGGTGTTACTGCTAAGATTACTTTTGCATATATTGAATGAAAGTCTACAGATATGGCATTACTAAGTTTATTGTTGGCTATACTTTCTGATGAAGCTATTGAATATGTTCTTGGATGTAAAATTGCATTTGAAGCAAATCTTATGGATCGATATGCTTATGTGTCTAAGTCTAAAGTAAACAATTTGAAAACTGAATTGCATACAATACAAAAAGGGAGTGATTTAATTAGTAAGTATCTGTTAAAGTTGAAAAGCATCAAGGATAGTTAACTGCAGCAAGGAAATCTGTGTCAGATAATGATATGATCATAGCAAGTCTTGTAGGATTACCAAAAGAGTATGTCCTAATTAGAACTGTAATCTTGGCTAGGGAATCATCCATAACTCTTAAAGAGTTTAGAGCTCAGTTCTTAGGTGTTGAAGAGATAGGAGAAATAAATGTAATGTCTCATAATTTATTTGCATTGTATATTCAAGGTTCTAACTCTTATCAAGGATCATCTTCTGCTTCTGGATCCGATCTTGGACACAATCATTTGTCAACCACTATGGGAGGTACTATTGCTCCATCACCATATAACAATTCATCCCAATTTCAGTATCCACATGAGCCTTACAATTCATAATTCCCTCAACAACATCATTCTGCACAGCCTTCCTTTTATCCTTGATCACCCTATGATTTTGGATTCTTGGGAAACATTTCTAATTCAGATGCAAGACCTCAATTTGGACAAAATGATGGTAACAACTACAAATCAAATTATGGTAACAAATCAAATGGTGGCAACAACTACAGATCCAATGGTGGTTTCAAATGGAAGAATTTCAATGTAGGGTCTTCTGGTTTCTCATCTAGTAATTCAAGACAAAATGGTTATGGTATATGGTCTAGCAACACTAAGAACAGGTCTAATGTGGTAATAGAGTGTCAAATATGCAATAAAAGAGTTAACACAACTGTGAATTGTTTCCATAAGAACTCAAATTCTCCATCTACTGGTTATATGCTTGAGTGCCAAATCTATGAAAAAAGAAGGCATTCAGCTCTTGAGTGCTATCATATGGGAATTATGCACTTCAAGGTCAACCTCCACCTCCATCTCTGAATGTAACGGCTGCATAGCAAACATCCTAATATGTACCTTGGGATTTTTGGATAGTTGATAATAATGCATCACACCATATTACTGCAGATGTGGATGCTTTGAATCATGGCATACATTTTGAAGGTTCTGAAAGAATTACAATTGGAAATGGCACAGGTTTAAACATTGAAAATATTGGTTTTACAACTCTCAAAACCAATTTTCAAGCTCTTATTCTTAAAAATGTGATGCATGTTCCTAAAATTGCAAGAAGCTTATTATTTGTGCAATAGTTATGTACTGACAACCATAGCTGGTTTATCTATGATGAAAATGAATTCTTTGTGCAGGACAAGAAGACAATTGAGGTTTTGTAACAAGGAAAGGGTAGGCCTAAAACACTATTTCAAATTCCAGTAGTCAAGAGTTCAAAAGGAATGCAATTTATGGTTTAAAGTTCAGCTGCTTATCTTGGACAAATGGTAAAATCAAGTCTACGGCATCAAAGATTAGGCCATCCAACTACTGAAATAATGCATGTCATGTTGAAGCAATCTTGGTTAGACAATCAACATAGTATATGTACTCAATGTATCAAAGGGAAGATGTCTAGGGTTCATTTTCCTTCTAGGATTGATAGGTCTTCTTTACCTTTTGAGAAGGTTCATGCTGATATATGAGGACCATCTCCTGTAAAGTCTCTAGAAGGGCACATATACTATATATGTAACCATTGTTGATGAATATAAAAGATATGTTTGGATATTTCCAATGTGCAATAAATCGGATGTCTATGCAATCTTTGTGAAATTCTATGCCTTTGTAATTCAGTTTGGTATCTCTATTAAGTGTTTGCAATCTGATGGTGGTGGTGAATATACAAGTCATTCACTTAAGTCATTTCTTGCTGCAAAAGGAATACAATAGTTGATTTCATGTCTATGCACTCCACAACAGAATGGATTGGTTGAAAGAAAACACAGACATATTGTAGAAACTGCAATCACTTTGCTTACCACAACTGGATTACCAAGTTATTTTTGGTACTTGTCACCGACCACGAACAGCCCCTTTGCATACGCCGAAGATGAAACCCAACCAAGCCCCGCAACAAAAAAAGAAGCAAACTCCCACCATATTATCTAACAATCCAAACATTTGATCAGTCATGTACATTGGAGGGAAATAAATCTACGAGTCATATACCCATTTTTACCCAAATACATACATACACATATAATGGCCTTTTGGGACATGCTGAGGTGACAAATCCTTAAATCATTTATCCTTAACTCATCAAATTAAAACCCCTCATAAAACCCCTCATAAAATGGCATCAGAGAAATATAAAATGGCATATCCCTCATAAAACCCCACCATATCCCTCGGGTTTACAATACTAATTAAAACCCCTCATAAAATGGCATCAGAGAAATATAAACACCATGGGCATGCATGGATCATTTAAATCATTGAGTACAAGCGAACAGTCACTTTCTTTGCTCATGGAACATTATTCTACACCTGCCTTTAAGGCCTTAAGCTAAGAAATTGCACAAAATTATTCCACCTATCCAATTGGAATGCATGATTTACAACAAAATCTATCGTTTGAAAAAAAAAAAAAAAACATGATTTCTTTCTAGTTAATGATATTAATTCTATCAATGGGATTAGAATGATCTACACTCAAATACCATATTCGTTAAATTGAAAACCAAAATATGGTATATTTCTAGGTAATGCTAGGGAGACTAAATTTGTAAACAAAATTTGCAAACTAAATGATGTGTTACTAATAGGAATAAGTATGTTTATCAACACTTAAGTAATAATTCAATCATCAACTTCCAAGTCATTTAATTTACAAAATTTAGTCCACAAATTTAGTCTCTCTAGCATTACCCATATTTCTATTATCCCAAATATTGCTAAGCAAATGGTCCAATTACAAAATTCATACTAAAATCTAAATGAGTGCATGTTTGCTCACCATTCTAAAGTGGTGATGATGCTCACCACCATATTAATTATCAATTGATTAATGTAAATTTCGTGATTTTGTATTGTAGATAGATCAAATCAAATTCATCCAACGATAATTAATGGGGTTGTAAGCATCACCATCACTTTAGGATGGTGAGCAAAAATATTTCATTCTAAACAAACCCACTTAGACGATTAAGGAAACTCTTACCACACTTAGTGTAATGATCATATCTATGAATGTCACAGAGAGGCCGAAAAGAGTGAAGAAGCACATGGTATTAGGTAGCATATATGTGCTCATCAAACAATGATATCTTCTAAAAGCATTTAATTGACTATGTCTCTTATTAACTACCCTCTGAACATGATTGATTCTTTATATGCAAAGAACCATTATTCTTTATCTGCGAGTCACAATTTGACACATAAAAATCAGAATATTGTTTGACTCTGTCTTAGGAAGGCAACAATCCTCACATTTCTGCAAATCACAGTCTAACACATATGCAAAAATACTCATCAAAACACAAAATAGAAATTTTCCGCACACATGCCAAACTATGATTGAAATGTTTTGGAATGACTACTTCCAATGGAATAAGCCAAGTGTCAACCTAAAAACTAACTCATATAAAATCACAAAAGAAAAGATTATGCACATATCAAACCAATGAGGAACGAATCTTTACACTTAAACAGCCAATTACCCCTTTTTGCCCATTAGACCTCTTTCACATGCTCAAACACCAAACCTCAGTGACCAAGTCTGCTCATTGTTACTAAACCACTCCAATCGAACTTCTATATAATAGAGAAACTTCTACCACCCAACTCACTTCTTCACTGCATGCCAAGAGACGAGAGTAGAGAATAGAACACGAGAGATGGCCATGAACTTAGCTTTGTTTTCACTATTTCTGGGCGTTGCGATTGTTTTTGCAATCGTACCGACAATCATAGGAGGAGGATATGGTGATGAGGATTGTGGTGACCTCTTGGGAAACGATGTGTACAAAGATAGATGCCCAGAGACGGAGGCCATAATATATGCCGGGGTCAGGCTGGCTGTGTTTGAAGACCCAAGAATGGCAGCCTCTCTCCTTCGTCTCCATTTCCACGACTGCTTTGTTAATGCACGTCATTTATTTTTCACTATTTATATGTGTGTGTGTGTGTGTGTTTGTGTGTGTGTGTTACGTTATTTTTCACTATTTATATATATAATATGATGTGAACTGTTCAGGGCTGCGATGCTTCAGTGTTGCTAGATGACAATGATAACTTTGTTGGGGAAAAAACAGCAGCGCCTAACTTAAACTCTCTGAGAGGTTTTGAAGTGATTGATGCAATAAAACAGGATCTTGAAATTGTTTGCCCTCAAACAGTTTCCTGTGCTGACATTCTTGCAGTTGCTGCCCGAGACTCCGTTGTTGTGGTGTGTGTGCTAAGAGCTACATAGTTCTTTCTTTTTTCATTGTTAACAAGAAGGGGATGCAACATGAAGACTTCTCGGGAGGTCTAAATATACTTCATTCGAATTTTGACTAATAATTTGATTTTTAATCTGCAGTCTGGTGGACCTAGCTGGGATGTTCAAATGGGAAGGAAGGACAGCTTCACTGCTAGCAAATCGTTAGCAAATAACAACATTCCAGGCCCAAATTCTACTGTTGCAACACTGGTTTCCAAGTTCCAAAATGTAAACCTTAGCTTGAAGGACATGGTTGCACTCTCTGGTACTCTCAACTTTGCTTCCACTGATGTCTTGTATTGTGCTTGATTAGAGTGAGACTTAAGACTAATAATTTGCTCTCCTCTCCGGCAGGTGCACACACGATGGGAAAAGCACGCTGCACCACCTTCACTGCCCGCCTACAAGGCTCCACTAATCCAAATGGTCCGGAGGCGTCTCTTGAATACGTTCAGTCGCTGCAGCAGCTGTGCTCAGATTCTGATGGCAACACGCTGGCAAACCTTGACCTAGCAACCCCAGCAACGTTTGATAACCAGTACTATCTTAACCTTCTCTCCGGGGAGGGTTTGCTTCTGTCCGACCAGAATCTCGCAACCGGAGATGATCAAACGCGTGAACTGGTAGAAACCTACGCACAAGACCCGTCCGCCTTCTTCGAAGACTTCAAAGATTCCATGGTAAAAATGGGAAGCTTGGGAGCAGTTACCGCGATGAATGGAGAGATTCGCAGGGACTGTCGAAGTGTCAATTGATCTTTTAGCCTAATGTGGTAAGCCACTTTCCAACGGTGGAGTGGAAGGCTCAATTAGGAAGCTTTGTATTGCTAATTATGGATGGCAATGCTAATAACATATTACTTTAGGTTTTAATACAAGCTAAACTAATATTTATCTGATAATTATCGGATTTCTATGTTTTACAATTATATCGTACAACTCGATTTTAGGCAATTGGTTGCCCGGTCCTAATGGTACTGAAAATGCTCACAAAAAAGGAACTAAGAGCTGAAGAACGTTTCCACTACACATCCTACTGAGCATTTTCAAGCTCTAGCAAGGACCATTGGCTGCGTCGTGATCAAAATTGATAGAAATACACTAACGTTTGGCTTCCTCCCAGCATCTGTTCTTTTGCTGATGACGTGCCACCTTACACTCTACCACTTCAAGCCCCTGGAGATTGAAAAAATGTTCAATTTAGAAAGGGGTAAATACAGTAGACAAATGCCAAGTGCATACGAAGCGAACTGAGTGTCGGTTTGTGACCATGCACAAGACCATACAGCCATGAAGGAACATTTGACATTTCTTCTCATTCTAAACAAACCCAAACCGACATCAGAATTTGAACGAAAATAATTGATTAGAACCTGTTGGTTTATTCTTCCACGTCCACTCCTGAGCAGCCTGAAGCCCCTTGGCCGAAAAGGAGAACTAAATTTAATTCGTGATACTTAAAACTTTAATAAACTGAGCAGCCGAATTTAAAAATTGAATACCTGTTGGAAGCGTGAAGGATCACCAACTGAACTAGGTGTAGGTAATTGTGAATAACTTCCATCCTGGAGACACAGATGACGAAAATAACCAATTAAAAATGGACTGGTTAGGGAAAACATTATATATTTTTAATTTTATTGTGAATCTGAATTATCTGGGTACTAGTGAGTGCGAAATTTACCTGAACATTTTGGTGACCCATAATTCCAGAGGCCAGATACTGTAATTCAAATTAATGAGTTAGTAACCACAATCAAATCATTAACATACCAGGAACCATTAGGAAACACTGACCGATGAAGAAAATGAGGGCTGTTGTAACTGCAAGTTGTTCCGGAACTGTGGTTGAAGCTGAGATTGATGATGCAGTTGTTGGGTTTGAGAAATTTGCTGCACAGACCGATTTGGAGGGAGTGATTGGGCATGAGGCTGCTGAACTGATGCTTTTTGTTGCTGCTGCTGTTGCTCAAACAATATAAGTTCGGCAGGTTTCTCCCACTACAAGTTCACATAAGCAGCATTAATCAAGTTGAAGACAAAAGGCCAAAACGAGGGAATCTGAGTGACAAAATCTTTACCCTGCTTTCACCAGTTGCATTATTATAATAGTACTTGTATCCATCGGGTGAGGTGTGCTCTGTCCAAATGCATTTTGCAGGAGCTATAGCCTGGGTTCCAGGAACAGCTGGAGCAACAGATGTGACTGAAGGCACATCCACCGCTGGTGTGGGAGCAGTGGTGCTGGCAACTGTATGTGGTGCAACACCAGTCCACTGGGACTGCAGGAACAAAAATAATATTCAGCTTACAAGGTAAGGGTTGGTAAAGACAACTAGAACTAGAAACAATAGAGCATCACAGACAAATCCACTTGATAGGCAACCAACATCCACGTCTGGGACAAACGCATGCAGAAGCTAAAATGCACGGCTTACTAACCACAGTTACAAATACGACCAAATCAAAAAACAGAATGGCTAAAAAAAGGCGTGTGTGTGTGTGGGTGGACCGTGGAATGAACCACACAAAAAACAGAATGCATCCCAACCTAAGGCCAACGCTGTGAATGCACAATAAATTCGACTTCCAAATTATCGTCTAATTAATTAGTCATATTTTGGCAATCAAAACATGGTTTCTACAGTTCTAGAGCCACAAGTCGTGCAATTGATCCATTTAGCAACTAAAGTTACATCCTCACGGTAGCCCATCCGGCACTTCCAATTACGACATACTCCTACAAGATAACAATTGACTAATCTTCAAATACCTGTTGCTGTTTGGTAGCCAGGGGATTCTGATGCACTGCCAAACCCTGATTTGATGGTTGCATTTGCTGCAATTGTTGTTGGAGCTGGGAGAACGCCTGCTGAGATGATTGAAAGCTCGCTTGCAGAGTTTGTGTCTGCTGCGACAGCATCTGAGCTAATGGAGAGGGTGACTGCTGAAGAGGCTGAATCAGTTGTTGCTGACCAGGAGCAGAACCAAGCTGCTGTTGATTTGCTGCGGTGGGCATGGATCGAGGTTGTAAGCTGATATTCAAAGGGGCTGGTAGTGCTGTAGCAGAAGATGAACTTTTCTGAACCTCAGGCTGAGGAACAGACAACTGTCCACCCAAGCCAATAAACTGTTGTGACGGTAATGCTTGACTAAATGGTGCTTGACCAGCAGAATGAGGAAGTTGAGCCTGACCAAGCTCCCGCACTGTTTGTGTGTGTGAGTTTGATGCCGAAGTTTGAGGGTGCTGTTCAAGGGATGGTGGCAAATGCTGAGGTGACGGAAAACACTTCTGTAATGGAGATATCTGCTGGCCGACATGTGGCATAGAATGGTTAAAACTCTGAAACATATCCAATCAAGCTATTATTTTCACTGTGAAATACGGGTAAATAAGAAATAATTGTTTCGACTTTAGACTACCATGTGATTAAAACAAAGTTAGAGCACCTTGTACCTTTTGTGATGTTAAAGAAGATGAAACTTGCATTCCAGGAAGAGGACCCTCTGCAGAGCCGCCATGGCCACCCTTAAATTTAAGGAGCAAATCATTAGACTTTTAAAGGCATAAAACACACTTATAACAAAAAACCCTAATAAGAAACTAGAAAATATGGATCATAAAATAAACAATAAAAGCACAATGCCCCTGCAGCCACCCTTTCATCTTCAGCTGCAGACGACGTGACAAGGTTACGGTAAAACCATCCAATCAAGAATCATTACAGATGCACTAACTACAGCATCTGCATGCCTTTCATGGATGTCTTACATGAACACAGGAAAAGGGACATTTCTTACTGGAGCAATGTTGCAAAATAGCTGAACTATTCTTACCGAATTCAAGGGCAACGACATGTCTCCTGACCTAGGAAGCAAATTGCCCACCAAGCCAGGACTGGGGGATGGTCCTAAGTTTGCTGGACTCATTGGATGCCAAACATTAGTTGGAATTTGATCACGTATAGTATTGCCAAAGTTAGGCATTGGTCTGTTTGGAGTAAGTTACAAACAGAGAATGTAAATGACTACAACGAAGAAAACTCCAGACAAAAAACTTCATAGAAATATTCAGAAAATGGTGGGAATTACCTTGCCCCTGGGGCTTGAAATCGAGGACCAAAACCTGGACCCCCAAATGAAGGACCCCTAAACAGAACAGTGTCAAAAACATTTAGGAATCTGTAACAAAAATTTATACTTCAAGAAGATTAAACCACAGCGGCCAAAGAAAATAAGAAGGCACAATGAGGAAGAAACCTTGAATCTCCAAGCCTAGGCCTTTTGGGATCAGCAAACCGGACAGTTAGTGGTTGATCACAACCCTGATGTGCAGGAAAAGAAATATGTGTGATATAATTGGATAGCATTTGATAACAGGATATTACACTAAAGTTAATCCCAAGGAAAAAAAAGACAACAAAACACTCACTCTCATTTTATAGAACCCATTAAGACCATTTATAGCTGCCAATGCCATATCTCTCTGAGAGTACTTTACAAATCCACATCCTAAACATGAATGGTTCAAAGAATGCATAAATCTCATATAGAGCACTTTCCTTATATTTCGAAATTTTAAATATGAATGAGAAACACACCACGACTCTGCTTCAATTCATCACGCATGAGGTAAACATCTTCAACTCGACCATATGGTGAAAAAATCTGCAAACAGAAAACAGTAATTGGAACATTTTCCTTTTTCCAGCTGCATTTACAACTTCAAACAGTAAATTTGCACTATACTATAATAAACAGAAGTTAAGAGTTTTATGCTTTAAGTTAAGAGTATATATATATCTCCTCTGAATTACAAAAGAACGTGTCTATAAAGGAAAAGTAAGATTGTGGTTCTAAAATAAAGAGAACAGCTAATTTGTTTCCAGATGAGATAAGAAGACTGAAAAATACTAATCCTAGAAGATAACAGATAATTGGGTTACAACATACTTCCTCAACTTCCTTTTCAGTAGCTTGTTTGTTCAGTGATCCCACAAATAATTTGTACTCAACCGCACCTACCATAAAAAAGGGTTGGCATCAACAATGGAAAAACTATATATTAATTAGACATGTGCGTTGAAATACAGAGGATTGAAATACAAAAGTCCCCCCCCCCCCGCCACCCTCTTCCCCCAAATGGATACCGCCCCATTCACACTATGGTCTTGATGAAAAAATATAAAACGAAAGGTACGAGCATAATTGGTTGAGGACCACTCATAGGTGAATAAGGGCTTAAGAGATCAAGGAAAATCAAGCACAAGATTACTGTCTGTTGAATGAGGTTTTTTCTCACATATCATGTCCTCTCATAAATGGCTCCAACTCAAGCCAAGATTTGACTGACCATTGAACCAGCAGTATATCTAATCTTTTGGAAAGAGTTGTAAAAAAGGCTATACACATGTCATGATACAATTTGCACATAAAATGGAACAATCAAACATTCACGCTGAGATGAAAATTACCAAGGCGTTCTCGTTCCCCATCAGCATATCTGACTTGGATAGGACCTGCTCCCTGGAGTAAAAAGAGTGAAACAACAATAAATTAGTTACATGACAATTGAAAATCAAACAGTAAAACAAACTCACCCCAGGAAGAGTATGTTGATTATGCAGAGCTCTAATTGCCCTACCAGCTTCTTCTGAGGTTGCATATTTTATAAAACAACAACCTGCATATGCAACTTATACCCTTGTAAAAAAACAACGATAGGCAGCTTGGTCCATATCCATAATAAACTCACATTAAAAGTTTCTCAAACCAGACAAACACACATGAAACCTCGTATTTACAAACTAATATGCTAGCAAAACAAACTTTTTCAAAAGAAACAACTAAAAATAAAATGATAAATCACACACATCGTATTCCTTAGTGCATGTACAAGCAAAGGGAGAGCATTGACTAGAAAAATGGTGCGAGCACCCATAACCTTAAGCCACACATCTAGGAACAGCCCCAAAACATAAACATTCCATGGTTGTGGCGTCTCAAAACTATATCAGTATAAAAGAAAGGTATTTGTCAAACCCTTTCTTGCCAAATAACATAAGTTTTCAGTACGCTTCTCATAAATTTGGCACATACTGGTGGGAAGCTTGAGGAGCCAAAAGAAACCATAACATCAAAAAGGGACAACAATTCAAACTTGATTTCAGGATCATTGTCCTGTAATTGGAATAAAAGCACAAAAATGAACATCAAAGTAACATGCATATGCCATCAAAATACACCATTCATCAAAAGTTTCGTAAATCCCAGAGATGGATGAATATCAAATCCCAAGCATTCCACATCACATAGCTTCCTACAAAGAAATATCCTGAAAAAACAGCCACCACACTAGCCATCCCCAGCAGCTTGGCTGTCTCAAAAGTAAACTCTTTCATCTGACACACCTTTCAGATTTAGTTAAATTTCAACAAATCAACAAAAAGTTGATTTCAGAAGTATCCTATATAAGAAATATCACTGCTTATTCAACATCCTATTTAGTCATTATAAACAAGTATTTAAACGCCCCTATTTAGTACACCATAAACTATCTGCCAATGTAAAGTCCCCTACTTAGTATATAATGAACTGACAGACGTCCAGGAAAAATCAAACCTGAGGAACTTTCCATAGAATAGTTCAGAACAATCAATCACAAGTCTAGAACGAATATACGCACGTGTTCATACCATGACAGTTCATTACAATTGGGGACTTCAGAGGCCACAAATACCACCTTCAGAAGCCAAACCATGGAAATTATATGAGGTTTGCATAAAAACTAGTTGAGTTTGCCCTTGTTACTATGATTCTGGATGTGAAAACTTGGATTAAGTTCCACCTCCCAGGCCACACTACAAGTCAAATCTCAAGACAAGCCAAGAGTCCACTATACTAATATTGTGTGTGCTAAACATCAGCACATTAAAGGATGATCAGATCATTCAAGCAAACCAATAATTGAAGGAAAAAGTAACTATTTTTCTGCCATAGACAACACTGTATTCTATGATACCACCAATCCTAGAGAAAGACTGTTTAGCTGCACCATAACCAAAGACATATATCATAAGTCTACCATTGCATCACAAACTTCACCAAATACATGATGAACTTTCACCTTATCAAAAAGTCGATGAATGAGATTGTATTGCCCAATGCAAATCTTGATATTTAGAACCACATAGATACATAAAACAAAACAAAAAATCAGCCTGATTGATGGCTGAATTTTCACAAACTCAAAAAATAACTCATATTCACCCACACAAACAGAAAGGGAAAACTGTCAACTCAAGATACCATAGCATCTGAAAGTGTAGAAGATTTGACGCAATATTCCTAGATACCAAAACTTCAGAGTTGTTTCTCCAACACTTTCATGCATTTACAAGGGAGGTATGTTTCAATATAAAACTAAGGAAATTATAGATATTACTAATCTATGAAGATACAAAACAAAGGCAATACTTGCTCAGCGCCCCCTATCACTGGGGAGTGGGAACAAGATCAGCTCTAAAGTTGAAAACCCCCAGCTAGAGATGGAATTCCATAACCAAAAGCTCAGTTGAACTTCACAATAAGATCCCTGAATTCTACAAAGTAAACTTACTACAAGGACAGATAAAACTAATATAAAAATCCACAAGGCCAAACAAAATACTTGCCCTAGAAATATTACATATCTCAACCACACATAACCTCACAAGCATTAAACATCAGTCCGGTACTGAACACTACTCAAAACATGAGCCTACTCCAGATTACCAACTTCAAATAAGATAACAAAATAAGATAACAACACACAACCACATCTTCCTTATGGTGACACATTAGCATCATAAAGAGACAAATGAGTCAACTTTTCAACTAACACATCCAAATGCAAATCAGACCCTATGCTCCAAAGAGGTATTAGCCATGCAGACAACGATCCTGAGACCGTACAAGGAATAAACAAATAAAAAAAGCTCGTTCCACCACATTTTGATAGCTTAAAATGTGTACAAAGATAGGGGCATAAACACCATATCAAAATATCCAGCCCCATGAACACATCATGATAATACGCGAAACTTAAAGTGAGAGTCATAAAACCAACAAACTCACTCAAGCCATCCAACAATTATCCATCTCTCTCAGAACATCTAACTTCACATCCATGACATCCTGTCAATCTTATAAAGTGACACATGACATTCCAAGTCATTCACACAAAGCACTCCAGCATTCACCAAGATAAGATAAACCAAAGGAATCCTCCATATTACATTGTGATTAAAACTATTCAAAAGCAAGAATCCATGTATGTCTGAGTAAATTTTCTGTACAAAAGTTGCACTTCTAAAACTCCTAATATAAAGAAGCTACAGTTATGGCTACAGACACTCCCATTACAAATAATTTGTTGGGTAATGCCCCCACTGCTGCAGCCACTATCAGAAGCGCAGGACCTAAGTGTCTTCCAAGATCCCAACTGCTATTCAGAAACTGGTTTTTAGTTGGTTTACATGTCTTGCCTTCTTCTTCTTTGAAAGGACGGACATGAATAAAAGGTTGCAAGCAAAACCAACAAGTGTTAAACTTGTTGCGAAAACAAAGTGAGATGAAAGATGAGCTTTGGCATGCTCCCATCTGCCTCTCAGAGCACCTGAAATAAGACATTCCTGATAACAATTATATCATAAAATTAGTGCGCACGTACCCTGCTGCTGTCCTGTTTTCTTATCTTTGATCAGAGCAACCTCTATCACTTCTCCATGTTCTTCAAACACAGGGCGAATCTAACATCATATAAAACTAACATGCATAAACACCATGACATAAATGTTTCAATTTAAACCAGCACCATTTCATGGATGAAAAAGGTCCAACAACATACATCTAGCATTTGTGTACAGTAATAATTAGGCTGACTTACATCTTCCTCGGTAGCTGTCCTAGGAACTGATCCAATAAATAGTTTGGCAAAGCTGCCTCTATCGAAACAATCTGAAAGATAATCAAACTCATGATCAACGCAGAAAGTAACCACAGCATAATCGAAACAAAAAGATATTGCCTTTTAGCCAAAAGTTTACTTGGGGTAAGATTTAAGGCAAACACCAAAATATTAATTGCTATTGACTAACATTACAATCTATCTTCCTACGAATGAAGTACATTGAAACTGCTTAAATGACTTAGCTCAAGCAAAACACAACATAACTGCAACAAAATTCATCAAAGCTGCAGTAAATGAATTTCATTTTCATAAGCTATATGAAATCCCAATTAAAGAAAATCACAACAGCGCACCTGGAGAACCTCGTTTCTGACCCGATATCGGGGGCGGGTCCTGGTAGTTCGGACCAAACCCTCCACCACCGGCACCGGCACCGGCACCGGCACCCCCAAATGGCCGGAACCCACCGGGAGTCTCCCGCGGCGGGATGTCGAAGCCACGGTGTGGACCGCGACCACCACCTCCACCATGATAGTTAGGGGGGCTGCGGCGAGTGTGGTGGCTCTGCTGGTTCATGGGCGCGTCGGAGAAACGAGAGGGTCGACGGTAGGGGACCGAGTCGTAGTGGTCGTCTCCGTCGTCGTCGTTGTTGCCGTAGCGGTCTATTCTGTAGCTATCCAGCTTTGCGAAGTTTTAGGTGCCGTCCCCGAACCCTAAACCTAACCCTAGCTCGCGCCAAGACTGGAGCTTGAATTTTCGGAAGAGGAAGACTTGGAGGTTGACGAAGACAAAGTGGAGTCCCTTCGCTGCGACAGCGTAATAAGTAAAACTCGGAGGGAAGTACCAAGCAAAGAGAATCAATTTCCTGTTTGCTGCCTCGAGGCGTCCGACTTTCAGTTCTAATCGGATCCAAACGGACTTACGCGGGTATGATTGGGCCGCATTGGCGGGCTTCCCCTGGCCTTTTATTACTTTAGCCATTTGATTTTTTTTTTTTTAACTAATGAAAAAGATTTGAAAATTTTGAATTTTAACGATCAAGAAAATAAAGGATAAGGTGAATAGTACCAAGATTGACTTTTTAGTTTAAAATTGTAGTTTTTCGTTAAAATGAATGATATCGGGAGTTTTTCGTTAAAATTCCTTTTTTTATAGTTAATTTTGTAGCTACAAGATAATTGATCTAAAGGGATTTAATGGCTCTAATTAACTTAAATGTGCACTTTTAATATGCATCGGAGAAATTGCACAATGTTTAAGTTGATGTTTCCTTGAAGACTTTGTATTTATGGAGCTGGTTTTATGGGTTTTTTTCTCGATTCAGTGTGAGAGTATCGAGGCGTTTCATTTTTTATTCAACATAGAGCTTTTGTTTCTAATATTTCACGCTTAGGTAGATCGTGATAGACCGCTTTGGGCTATCTTTTGTATTATCATAATCATATTGTGTGTTAATAAAGCATCGTATCATAATCATGTAGCCATTTTTTTTTCTTTTTTTTTTTCGACAAAAAAAACCCCAAGGATTTGGTCATTGGAAAGCTAGGTTTGAAACCTACAACTTCAGTTCAACTCACATGGATGCATTTTTTGGGGTCACCAGTTTTGCTTGTATCGTTTAACTCGAGGAAGCCAAAAGTACAATGTCGTCTCATGTGGTACCAGGACAATTTAAAAAATTTGAATTAGTATATCATCAATGTATGGTGGGATACTAGGCACAATCACTACCATATTAATATCAGTCAACACTCATGTGATTTTATTTAATTTATTCAATACAAGTGATATTTTATAATTTTTTTTTCCCATTAGATGATAAAAAATAAAAAGGAAACGAAGGGAGCTGATAATGGATATAATGTGTGAGAGTAATACCCTATATATTGTAAACATTTTCTATTCAACATCTCCGGATCCTTCTCGGTAATTTACGTTTCTTGTAGTATAGGGTATTCCTACCACTTATGAGCCAAGTAATACCCTATATACTGTAAACATTGTATACGCACATTCGTTTAAGGAATAAAATTTCTACAATATCCCACATTAAAACAAAAATATTTCATATTTTTTAGAAGAATAATACTTCATATTTGGCAGGACCCATTAATTTTATGTTAAATGAGAATTAATGGACCAAACCCTAATTCTATACCGTTTCATATAAATGTGCTCACACCCAGTGGCGGATCTACAGAGGGACCTGGGAGGTCCCAGGACCCCTCGGCGATCCTAAATTGCTGCTAGAAATTTTCCGGAGGACCCCTCGTACTCGACATGAGGTCTGTGCTGCGGGTTGGAGTTGCAGGTTCTAATGGAGAAGAAGACAGCGGGGAGGGGAAGAAGAAAGAAAACAGGGCCTTTTAACAATTGGTCCAAACCGGCATAGTTTTGGCCAATTGTTTTAATTTAAAAAAAAAATCAATGAGACAAACTCTGCCGTTTGTCCATGATGTTCCATATTCTTTTACAGCCTAGCCCCACATGGGCCACATCTTTCCCGAGAGTCCCTCCCGTTTCCTTTCCCCACTCCTCTGCTTTTTCCCCCTAATCCCCATCTTTCTTATATTCACCCAAAACCCAATTTCTAATCCCACCCAATTCCATATTATAATTACATTACTCCAATATCATACATCCACTTGTTTCAATTCACCAAGCCACCACTATTTGGTTCAAAGTTCAAGTATGTTTTTGGGTATTCTAATCTAATCTCAATTAAATTATATTAGATATTGGTAGAGATTTTTAGTCTATTATTGATATGGTTGTTGATATGTTTTATGTTTGTATACTCATTTTATCATTGCAATTTAGATGGAATTTTTGTTTATTGGTTGATTGGTATATATTTTGTGTTTTTGGTTAAATGTGTAGTTTAGAAATGAGAAATATGGAAAGATTTTTCAAGCCAAAGCAAATAGCACCATCTAATTTTTGAATGAAGTGTATTATATTTAACTTTTCAATGTTATTTTTATCTATAAATTTTTTTACCTTTATTATTGGGACACCCTGAATTTAAAATCCTGGATCCGCCACTGCTCACACCTTAATATGCATATCATTTACAAAATATGAACAACTCAACATGTCACATTCTACTAGTTTGTCTAATTCTAGTCTTTCTTCCACTAAGCCATTGCAGCAGGGCTGCGAAGATCTTGCAAATGGAAGTTGATCTCATCGACCAAACCTGCAAAGTAACACCAAACTACGATCTCTGCGTCTCCTCTCTCGAATCAGACCCTCGAAGCGCGTACGCCGACGTTGCAGGCTTAGGCCTCATTATAGTTAACGTAGCCACTGTTAAGGCAACAGATGTTGTGAACAAAATCGAGGAGCTGCTTAAGCAGAACCCTGAAGAAAAACCCTTAAAGTATTGTACTCGCTATTACCGTAAAGTTTTGGAAGCTGACATCCCGGAAGCCAGTCAAGGTTTTCGTTCGGGTAACCCTAAGTTTGCAGAGGAAGGCATGATCGGCGCCACTGGCGAGGCTGAATCATGTCAGAGTAGTTTTTCTGGCAAGTCTCCTTTGACAGATATGAACAAAGGTTTCCAGGATGTTTCGAATATAGCTGCAGCAATTGCTAGAATTTTGATTTAATATATTAATGGACATGTTCTTGTTGTTTTACCTTCGAAGTTATAACACAGTTTGAATTGCAAGTGAATGTTTGTTTCAAATCATTTATATTGTGGACGCTAAAGTTGTCATATTTTAAAATTGCAAGTGAATGTTTGTTTCAAATCATTTCATTTTATAGTATGTTTGGAATGCCATTTAAATGAGAAAAGGTGTCATGTTGTTATTATATATCCTATCTTTTTACCTCGCTAAAACGTTTATTTGTTGTAGAGGTGAACTCGAAAGACCGAAAAACGGAACCAAAACAAAAAAAAAAAAAAAATCCAAATTGAACCAAAAACCATTGTTCGGTTTTGATTTGGTGGTTCAAAAACCAAACATAACCGAACCTAATGAGATATAAATTAATATTTTATTTACTTATCTATCTTGGGTATTCAATTTCCAAGCTCAATTCTGAGTAAATTATTAGCCAAATTTTAATCCAAAACTAGGTAAACCTAACTTAAAGCCCAAAAATGTTAAAGTCTTATTCACTATATTTTTTTTTTCTTCATTTTCTTTCCAATGTATAGGTTATCAAATAAAAAACAAAATGAAAAAAAAAAAAACTGAAACTGAACCAAATGAAAAAATAAAAAAATAAACCAAAATAATTCGGTTTCTCCATTACAAATTGAAAAACCAAACCGAATAGTACTTTCAGTTTTGGCAAAAAACCTAGACCACCCCTCATTTGTTGTAACGGGCAAAGCATGTAGCTTTTATTTACGGTAATTTCATTTAATTTGTTTGCAACATGTGCTGTGGCTATTGCAATGAGATTTTTAGTAGTGTGTTTCCAAACGGTAAGTTTTTTGTTTTTTAGTTACAGGAAGTGAGATTGACAATGAGTTAGTAATAATATGGTTTAGATTTGTCTTTGGCGAAAATCGAACATAAGACCTCTCACTTACAAGTGAAGAGGAATATCATTAGACTACAGTACTAAGTGATTCCAAACAGTAAGTTAAGAAGCAACATAAAGTTTAACCAGCCTCATCAACTAGTAATATTTCAGTGTGATCGTAGCGCGAATAGAGATTTGAACTTCATGTCTACTTAATTGAGGACGAAGTAAGGAAAGCATGGTTAATATGGTAGCAACATCTAATCTTTTTTGTTAATGAAATTAACTGATTTTTTGCATAAAAAAAATGTAAAATCAAATTGGTTTATTAAAAATGGAATGTTAGGCAGGATTTTGATTTCTTTATATGTATTGGACTATATTAGAATCAAATCGTAGGTACATCGTATGTATAGTTCATCCCTCAATATTTATCTTAAATATAGAAGTACAATGATAAATAAAAAGGATTACTCGTTTTTGGTAAGTTATCTGCGAAAGAAAGTTAGCAATATATACTCGCGTCATGATCTCTTTGTCATGGTCATCAAACATTGAATTTGATATCAAGGGTGAAGAATGAATGAACACACTTTTAATGTTTTAATCTCAACCCTTAATATCAAATTCAAAAATAATAATTATACATTTTTTCATGACCTGGTGACCAAAAGAACATTTTGGATACCTATCCATTTATCATTTATTGTTTTAGCTAGGTCACTTACCATTTACGTCCATTTACCAAATTTCACCCGTAATTTCCCATTAATTCCTTTCCACATAATGAAACGGGGCCTAGAAGTGAGTTGGAGACAACCATTCAACTCTGTCTAGTCTTGTATAAATAAGTTCACACCTTGTTAGCATATATTAGTGGTCAGGATTGTGACATGTGTCACTGGATTGTATAAGTTGAGTTAGTTATGCTGACATGTATTTATAGTGAAATAAACCCTTGTAATAATTCATTAATGGTAATGAGAAAAGTTTGTTGCAGATTTTCTTTCTCTCTCTCCGAGCTATCTCTCTAGATTTCTAAGTTTTCATCTTCCATAGCTAGTGTTGACATGGTATCATCACCAATCACGGGTAACACCATTGGTTGACGATCCTCTGCTTCCGATCACTAGTATCTCTATACTGATTGTTGTCGTCGTTGTTGGTGTTGAAGCTCATCGTTGTTGTCTGTGGTTGAAGTTTGTCGGTGTTGTCGTTCGTCAGTGATCGTCGCGAACCCTAATTTTTGGGATTCTTCATTTCATAGCTGGTTTTCGGCTGTGCTCATTCATCTTTGTGCTTCAGGAAGGTGATATTGTTCATCCTCATATCTCACATATTGTTGTTGTGATCTTGATTTCTTGATAAAATCTTGTCTGAAACCCTAGCTTTTGGGAATTTGTTCTCTTGGAAATTGTTGTTAATTAAAAGATTGTAGCATAATTTGTGGTGTGAATTGTTCTACTCCGCTGTAGTCTGTGGATTGATTCCGTTTGTGAATTCTTTATATTTGCGTTGCATGGATTGTGATTTTTCTCTTTGAAAATGGTTACCTCTTCTCAATTAGCACTTACACAATTGCCAATTTCGTCTCTAATTCCTACTATGGGTAATAATGTTACTGTCAAACTTAATGACTCTAACTATGTGACTTGGAATTTCCAAATGGAGTTACTACTTGATGAAAATGGCATTTTTGGGTTTCTTGATGGTTCCATTCTATGTCCTGATAAGCCTGAGTTGGATTTTGATGCCTATACTGTTTGGAAGATACATGATAAGGCATTAATGACACTCATTACTGCTACTTTGTCAACTACTGTGTTGTCCTGTGTTATTGGCTGCAAAAGTTCTAAAGAAATGTGGACTAGTCTTCGAGAAAGGTTTGCAACTATGACTAGGACTAGTATTGTTCAGATGAAGATTGATCTTCAAATATTAGAAAATGACATGAATCCATTGATGCATATCTTCAGAGGATTAAAGATGCTATGGATCATTTAGCTATTGTTGGGGTTGTTATTTCTGATGAAGACATTGCTATTGTTGCATTGCGGGGTTTACCTCCTGAATATAACATTATCAAGTCTATCATTCGTGGAAGAGAAACTTTGGTGTTTTTAAAGGAACTGAGATCTCAATTGAAAGCTAAAGAAGACTCATTGAATGAAGTCACTAAACAAGTTCCTCTAATGTATGCTATGATGGCTCATAGTTCTCCTTTTACATATGACACTGGTGGTACCTGTGGTACAAAGGCAAATTCTTTTGGAAATGACTCAGGTGATTATTTTGGACACACTTCTAGTCCTCAGTTATCCTATTCCCCTATATGCAATTTCATCAAGTTCCTCAGTTCTCACCTATACAATTTCCACAACCCTTTTCCACAACAACAACTACCCTTTCCTCCGTCTCAACAACTTCCTTTTCCTGGACCATTGGCTTTTGTCTCTCAAAGTGGTTCTGATACATACAATAATTTCAAAGGAAATAATTCAAACAAAAGGGTAAAGGCAAGAAGTTCTTTTCTAGTAATCAAGGACAGTATCCACAACAGTTCTCATATGGTGGAAATCAATTTTCACCATAGTCACAACCTTATTCAGCACCAGGACAACAACAAATGATATCTCCACAGAGTTATCAACCATTGCATAAATGTCAACTCTGTGACAAAAATGGACACTCTACTATCAATTGCTTTCAACATGGCTGTCAAATATGTCATAGAGTAGGACATACGGCTGCTAATTGTTTTGACATAAATAATTCTTCATCTCAAGGTTATCAGCCATCATAGTCTTATTAAAGTTATCAGCCACCACAGTCTTATCAACAACAATTCTCATAGTCCTATCATCAACAATCTCAGGCTTCACGACAACTTATCAATTCAAATGGTCAACCATCTGGCATGTCTTATCAGAATTCAAGTAGTGTGCTTCCTCCATTTAATTCCTCTGTTGATATGACTGCTCAAGCTAATACAAGTCCATCTGCACCTCAGCATAAGTATTGGCTTCTTGACTCATGAGCTACTCATCATATGACTTTGGATATTTCTAATCTTCAGATGTCATCTCCTTATCCTAATATAGATATTGTCACTGGTGCTAGTGGTAAAGGTTTGATCATTGCTCGTATTGGCAAATCTAACCTTCCTAAAATGTCTCACAATTTTAAACTTAATTTTATACTGCATGTATCTCGATTGTCACAACACTTGTTGTCTATGTATCACTTATATAAAGACAATAATTGTAGATGTATCATTGATGAGTTGTCTCTCTGTATACATGACAAGGTCATTGAGAGAATATTGTTTAAATGATTGAGTAATCATCCAATTTATCCCCTACCTGTGCTCAAACAAAAAGACCTTACCAGCAGCATTTATTGGTCAAAAGGTGTCTTGTACATTGTGGCATTGTCAAATGGGTCACAACACTTAGTAAGTCTTCAATTCCTTATCATTGTAACTCACAACCTCAGTATTGTGCTCCTTGTTTAGAAGGCAAATTCACCAAACTTCCATTCCCTTTACATGCTTCAAATTTTGTAATTACATTCGAAATAATACATACAGATGTATGGGGGCCAGCACTTGTATGTCAATTAAGGGGTATAGATATTGTGTCTTTTTCATAGACAAATGTACTAGGTATACATGGATTTTTCCAATAACCAATAAAGCTGTTGTGTTTGGTCACTTTGTTCCATTTCATTCCTTTGTACTAAACTCTTTTGTTGCTCACATTAAGATTCTACAGAATGCTGGGGGTGGGGAATACATTGGTGACATTTTTCAATCTTTTCTTAGGGAGAAAGGTATAACACATAAAAAATCTTGCCTTATACCCCTGAGCAAAATAGGTTAGCAGAGAGAAAAAACAGGCATATTGTAGAAACTGTAATTACTTTATTGCAACAAACTTCCTTACCTTTTAAGTTTTGGTACCATGCATGTGCTACTGCCACTCATCTCATAAATAGGATGCCAACCTCTACATTACTAATGAGATCTCATTTTGAAACTTTGTATCAATCAGCTACAAGACTTGATCACTTACTAATGTTTGGCTGTGCTTGTTTTCCATCTTTAAAACCCCATAGAACAACCAAACTTGATCCCTAGACCATTGTTTGCATTTTTTTAGGTTATGCATCTCAGTACAAAGGTTATATTTTTTACTCTGTCAAAGATAACAAATTAATTGTGTCAAGGCATGTATTATTTGATAAAAGTCAATTCCTTGGTTCAACTAAGCTACAACACATAAAGTCTAGTTCATCTTTGTCCTCAGTTGTACCAACATTTGTGTCTTATACAAATTCATTTGAGCATCCTTCCATAGTTCCAATTCCATTATCAAGTGTCTTTGTACCTGCATCCACACCCATTACCAGTCATGTTACTCAATCCATTATTCTCAATCAAGGTGATTTTGTCTCCACATCTCCTACATCTCTAATTCAACCTCAGATTCTTCCATGAGTTTAGATTCATCAATGGGTTCGGTTTCAAATTTTTCCATGGGTTCAGACTTGCATCCAGATACTACTACTTCTCAAGCCACTAAGTTATAACTTGTACCACTACAGTCTCAGAATTTACACCCAATGCAGACACAATCTAAATCTGGTATCTCTAAGAAGAAGTAGGTCTTTTATACTACAATTCATTCTGATTCCATTAAAGAACCACCGTCTTATACTGCAACTTCTAAGTCTCCACAGTAGAAAACAGCTATGCAGGAAGAAATGGATGCATTAGTGCAGCAACGCACATGGCAACTTGTTCCATTGCTTGCAAATAAAAATCCGGTGGGTTGTAAATGGATATAAAAGGTCAAAAGACATCCAGATGAGTCGGTTGCAAGATATAAGGCTAGATTAGTGGCCAAAGAATTTTCTCAAGAGGCTGGATTAGATTATTATGAAACATTTAGTCCAGTGGTGAAACCAACCACTGTGAGACTCATACTATCTTTAGCAGCAACTCAGAGATGAAAACTTAAGCAACTTGAGGTCAAGAATGCATTTTTACATGGGTTTCTTGAGGAAAAGGTATATATGTCCCAGCCCCAAGGTTTTGTTGACAAGATCCACCCAGAGTATGTTTGCAAATTAGAAAGGTCACTTTATGGTCTCAAACAAGCTCCTAGAGCTTGGAATGAAAGGTTCACTACTTTCTTACTTTCAAATTAAATTATCTTATGTCGATCTTTCATTGTTTATCAAGCATGATGGTAAATAGTTATGTTTCTTTTATATGTGGATGATATCATCCTTACTGGAGATAATGATACTTGTGTTCAATCTATTATATCTCAGTTAACCACAAAGTTTGACATGAAGGATTTGGGGATTTTACACTATTTTCTTGGCTTGGAAAGTAACTATCAGTCTCAAAGGCTATTTGTACACCAGTCAAAGTATGTCCAAGATTTGTTACAAAAGATAGATATGCTATAATGTAAGCCTTGTATCACACAATGTTATCCTAATCTAAAACTCTTGAACCATGGTAGCCCTAGTTACTCGAATCCTACAAATTACAAGAGCATTGTAAGAGCCCTATAATACTAACCTTTACAAGACCTGACATTGCCTATTCTGTGAATCAAGTGTGCCAATTTATGCATTTTCCTCTGGAATCTCATTATGTTGATGTCAAGAGAATTTTACAACATCTCAGAGGTACTTTAGGCTGGGGCATTTCTTTTAGACCTGGTTCATTAGTTTTAAAAGCATACACAGATGCTGATTGGGCTGGTGATCCCAATGATAAGCATTCTACTACATGTTTTGTTGTATTCTTAGGCTTCAATCCAGTTTCATGGAGTTCTAAGAAACAACACACAATTAGCAGATCCTCGACAAAGGCTGAATACATGGCTATGCCAACCACCACTGCCGAAATTGTTTGGCTTCAACAACTTCTAAAAGACCTTCATATTAACACTTCTTCTCATCCATTCTTACATATTAACAACATCTCAGCCATGGCTTTAGCTACTAATCCTATCTTGCACTTTAAAACCAAACACATAGAGGTGGATTGTCATTTTGTTAGAGAAAGAGTTCAACAAGGTGTCATTTCTTTGCAATTTGTTTCTTTAACAGACCAATATGCAGACATTTTCACAAAAGGCTTATGTTCTCCTTTGTTTACAACACAGTGTTCCAATCTTATGCTTGGTTCCACTAAGACATAAGATTGAGGGGGAATGTTAGCATATATTAGTGGTCAGGATTATGACATGTGTCACTGGATTGTATAAGTTGAGTTAGTTATGCTGACATGTACTTATAGTGAAATAAACCCTTGTAATAATTCATTAATGGTAATGAGAAAAGTTTGTTGCAGATTTTCTTTCTCTCTCTTCGAGCTCTCTCTCTCTCTTTAGATTTCTAAGCTTTCATCTTCCAAAGCTAGTGTTGACACACCTTACTAGATGTACTCTCTTAAATAAGCATCAACAAACTTCTTAAACCCTTTTGTCTTTGCCAAGATGAAGAACTCAACGTGTCTCATTCAACTAGTTTGTCTAGTTCTAGTAGTCTTTCTTCCCCTAAGCCATTGCAGCAGGGATGTGATCTTCCCAATGGATGCCAATATCATTGACCAAATCTGCAAAAAACACCAGACTACAATCTCTGCGTCTCTTCTCTCAACTCAGACCCTCGAAGCGCGATAGCAGACGTTGCAGTCTTAGGGCTCGTAATGGTTGACATAGCCAAGACTAAAGCAACTGACGTTGCGAAGAAAATTAACGAGCTGCTTAAGCAGAGCCCTAGTGACCCCTGCACTCACTTTTACAAAACAATTCTGGAAGCTGATATCCCAGAAGCCGCTAAGGCTTTTATAGGTAACCCCAAGTTTGCAGAACAAGGCATGAACAACGCTGCCGGCGAGGCCCAAACATGTGAGGATGGTTTCTCTGGCAAATCTCCTCTGATTAATGAAAACAAAGCTGCCATGATGTTTGTGAAATAGTTGTAGCAATTGCTAGAATTTTGCTTTGATACATTAATTAATGTGTCTTGTTGTTTTATTTCTGAAAAAAATCATGTTACTTGATAATCAATAAGTATTTTAGTTTAATTACTTATCATCCAATCTTCATGTTGTTATACTTGTTGGACTATAGCATTGCCATACTAAATTACGTTGTCCATTGTGTGGTTTAACCGAACTCCTCAAATGTTTTATTCCTTTAGTGTAAAAATATATCATTGTACTAAAAATAAAAAAGTTATATTCTACCCAATTGTTTAACATACAACAATATTTTATTACACACTAATATTTTACATTAAGAGATAAAGAATAAATTGGTACGAACTCTTGTCATCCATGAGATTAATTTTCATGAGATTTGATTTATTTGAACTTAAAACCTCTCACTTACTAATTACTAGATTGTAGTATGTGTATATTAAGTGATAGTATACATGGTTGATGACTGTTGGTATACATTTGCGACTTATTCTCTTTCAACACAAATCATATATGATCATCTACCATTAAATTTGATATGATCCATATGATACTACAGACGAAAAATGAATTAATGCACTTTAATATTTTAATATTAACTCTTAGTATTAAATTTAAAGATAAATAGCCATGCCCAGGTACTTTATGCAAAGGGATTTCCATTTTTTCAAAAAAAAAATGGGGACTAGATATGGGGCTCACTTCACATCGAACTTGAACGATCTGAACCGTCTAGTTTGTAAGTTTCGATTCATAGATCATTCTTACAAAACTTCAATTCAATCCAAAATCATTTGTCTATTTAATTATCAAGATAAAATTTCATTGTTTCTTGTATAACAAAGTATTTATTTATTTTTTAACCCAATTATATGTCTTAAATATTTTCGATTTGGTTGATATTTTGCAAGGACGATTTATGAGGTGCAACTTGAAAAATAAACGGTTCAGATCGTTAAAATTCGATGTCGTGTGAATCTTACAACTAATCCCTATTTTTATGAAAAAATGAAAATCTGTTCTCTTAAAGGCTTCCTAGCCATCCGTATATAACAATTTTGATGTATATTCATTTACCATTAATTGTTTTAATGAGGTCACTTGTCATTTACACCATCGACCAAATTCCGCACTTGATTTATCATCAATTCCTTTATGCGAATCGAACGGCCTAGGATTGAGTTAGAGATAAGCATCCAAATTAAACTCTGGACAATCTTATCTAAATGAGGTCACACAGTAGCATATATGTGTGCACCTTTCAGTTTCTCAACATCATCAACTCTTACATAAGCATCAACAAACTTCTGAAAACATTTTTTGTCTTGCGAAAAATGAGGTACTCAGCATGTCTCATCCAACTAATTTGTCTAGTTCTAGTGTTTCTTCCCCTAAGCCATTGCAGAAGGGCTGTGATCTTTCCAATGGATGCCAATCTAATCGATCAAACCTGCAAAAAAACACCAAACTACAATCTCTGCGTCTCTTCTCTCAAATCGGACCCTCGAAGTGTGAAAGCGGACGTGGCTGGATTAGGGTTCATAACGGTTGACATAGCCAAGGATAAAGCAACTGACACGGCGAACAGAATCAACGAGCTGCTTAAGCAAAGCCCTAGTGACCAACGTTTAAAAACTTGCGCTACCTTTTACCATACAATTCTGGTTGCTGATGTCCCAGAAGCCAGTCAAGGTTTTAAGTTGGGTAACCCTAAGTTTGCAGAGCAAGGCATGAACGACGCTGCCGATGCGACTGAAGCATGTGAAAAGGAATTTTCCAGCAAATCTCCTCTGACCGATAAGAACAAAGTTGTCCATGACCTTAGCAGTATAGCTGCAGCAATTGCTAGGCTTTTGCTTTGATATATTAACAAAAATCATGTTACCTTGATAATCAATCATTTGTTCTGGCTTTATATTCTAAATTTGATTCTCGTTCGTTTGAGAAGCTGCCGTTTTATCTTATCATTCTTCAGTATATGCATATATATATAGACGAGTGAAATCTCCCATACACGCACAAATTAGAAAACTCCCTGTTCCTATGTAATTACATCTCAATTTTTTCTCCTTTTTGCACAAAATTATTTGGATGTAACGACAATACAAAAGGGGGGTTGCATTTGGGAAAATGTGTATTGCTCTGTCAAGGGACAAAAAGAGAACAACAATGATCACATTCTCATCTCCAAGGGTATGGTGGGATTTATTAGATGTGTGAGCGTGACTGTGAATACATGAGTGATGACCGTTGGGATTAAAAGATGATATTGAAACTCCTAAAAGATTATCACACACTATTTGATTTGGAGGTCAGAAAGTATGTTTTCGCTTCAGGTGATAGTGGATCACATGAAGAGTTAAATTAATCTGTCATCAATGTGTGATGGGATTTTTCTATATTCAAAATAAAATAAAATTAGCTAGCTATTTTAACTTTTGCAATCATAAGCTATTTTAGCAAAAATTGAACTTCATTGTTGGAGATGCTCTTTGGAGAATCTTTAAAAACATGAGTCACTAATTCAAAGTCACAATCCATCTTTACAAACTTATTCGGGGTTTTTTTATTGAAGTTTTTGTATTGAATCGTTGTTCTATAACTTGTTTGATTAAATTGGGCATTTATTTTTTGGATTAAGTTGGGATTTGATTGATTTTGTTCTGAAGAGTAAGGGCAAAGAAGACTAGAAACTTACTAACTCGATGAAGAAAATGCAAGTTGAGGAATCATCGTCAAGGTAGTCCGGGACAATTTCAAGAGAAAACCTGTTATTGTATTTGTTGTGGACATGGCAAGTAATTTCATTGAATTTAATCGGGTTTTCTTTGTTTATTGTAGCAATGTGGTTGTTCTACTTGATTCATTTCATTGATGATTGAAATGTGGTGTGGATTTTGATTAGGAAGTGGTAAAACAACCTTTATGCGGCAGTTGGTTTCACACACTTACGAATCTCACATTCGTGGCTATGTGATGAACCTCGACTCAGCTGTGATGACTTTACCGTTTGATGCAAATATTGACATAAGGGATACCGTTCGGTACAAGGAAGTGATGAAACAGATCAATCTTGGACCAAATGAGGGGACGCTTGCCTGTGAATCTGTACCTTGATCATTTCATTCTGCTGGTGCTTAATGTATCGGATTAATTATTACGAGTACTGATTCTATACGTTCAATTTGTTTCCAAATGCATGGCAATTTTGGCTTGATCCACTTGACTAAGCTCTCTCAATGTGGTTATTGTCGCTCATGCTTTGTGTTGTATCCTTCTTTGTTTTCCCCACTTTATTCAGAACAAACCTATCATGATAATCTCCAATTTCAGGTTGTCTCAGTCATTGGGAAGTGAGCGCATCAACTTGATTATGTTCTCGTATACGTGGATACTCCCGGTCAGATTGAGATATTCTCTTGATCCGTCTCTGGTGCTATCATCACAGAAGCATTTGCATCCACATTTCCTACTGTAATCGCTTACGTGGTACATACACCTCGTTCAGCTAGCCCAGGTACTTTCATGAGTAATATGCTGTATGCTTGTGGTATTCTTTACAAGACATGGTTGCCTTTTGTGTTTGCAATGTTTTAAAAAACACGCCCCAAGGCGCACCTAGGCGGCTTTGGAGGCGGAGCTGGGGTGAAAACGCCTCTGCTCAGTGGGAGAAGGCGAAACATTTAGACGTGGTTGATGCGCACCTAGGCAGTTGAGGCGTGCCTTAGGTCATTCTGTGCCTTTTTTTATATACAACTTCTCCACAGCCTTCTTTATTCGACACTCAAGTCCTCGACAACCCCACATTCTTCTTCTTCTGTGTGAAACACTGAAACCCTCCTTTCTCTTCTTCGTGCGACACTACCAACTGAGCAGGACCGCCACCACCCAGCAAAAAGGAAAGTGAGAGTGAGAAAGAAGAGGGAAAGTGAGGGAGAGTGTACCGAGTGAAACAGAGTGGGTGGGGATGTATGTTTGACTATTTTAATGTTCAAATTAATGGATATTAGAGAGAGAGAGAGAGAGAGAGAGAGAGAGAGAGAGAGGGAGAGAAGAGGGAAAGTGAGAGTGCATGGAGGGAAAAAGAATAAGTGGGTCATGTATATGGATCATATTAATGTCGTAAAATGAGTAGATATTAACGAGGAATTATCATTTTATTATTTTTTGATGTATGTGGACCACATTTGGATGAGTGATTTCCTTTTTGTTTGTATGCTTGTGAGTTAAAATTGTTTGTCTTGTGCAATTTTGAATGACAAAGGATATTTAAAGTACTATATATTACACACACAAGTATATGTATATATTAAATATTAAAAATTTTAGATCATGTCAAATTTTGTCTCATGTCTTAAGGCTTCCGCCTAAGCGAGGATATCTAAAACATGTCTCGCGTATAAAATATTGGTTTGCATTCAACAAGATTGACGTTGCTCAACATCAGTTTGTTTGGAGGTATGCCTTTATAAATTGTAATATGTGTGTGAATGCAGGCACAGGCCGACACACATTTTCATTAGCACTTTGCTGACATACACACACGTCGTTGAATATACTTCCTAACCATTTTGATTGTGATCATCTAAATTACGGTCACGGACTCAAAATGCAGCAGTTTTACCCTTATCTTGAGTTTTATAATTTTCCCCTTTTCACTGTAAACTCCAATATGTAATACGCACTTTGAGGTTTTTCCTTTAATCCGTTGTCTTGAAAACTGCTGTTTATGCAGTGGATGAAAGATTTTGAGACATTTCAAGCAGCAGTGAGTAGAGATATAGTTCATACTCTTCAAATTTAGCTCAGAGCCTCTTCCTTGTGTTGGATGAATTCTATAAAAACTTGCGGTCTGTTGGAGTGTCTTCGGTTTCTGGTGCTGGAATGAAGGATTTCTTTAAAGCCGTTGAAGCAAGTGCTGAAGAGTACATGGAAAGCTATAAGTAATGCCTGAATTCCAACAAATCTATATATATTGAAATGCTACTGAATAGGGATGTGTATACTTGATCTAGTCTTCACAATTTTCTGCTTCTTGTTGCTTTTGTAGGGTTGATCTGGACAAGAGACCGGCGGAGAAGCAACGTTTAGAGGAGGAACACAGAAGGGAGAACATGGAGAAGTTGAGGAAGGATATGGAGAAGTCTGGGGGAGAAACTGTGGTCGTGAGCACTGGTTTGAAGGACAAAATAAGAGGGGCAAAGCCATGATGGATGAGGACGATGAAGATGAATAAGTCGGCACGTTTGCATTTTAGTGATGCTTTGTTAAGTATTAACTCACTAGTTACCAAAAGGGGCTTGGAAGATATCACTCGGGGCGGGCATCGATGAAGATTAGAGTAATTTGATCTACGTGTTTGGATGGATTATGAATCGTAGTTTTCGGATATATTCTTAATCAGAAGAAAAAAAAAAAAAGGTTTGTGTGTCGTCCTATTAAGTTTGAGTGCTACTGCTAGCAGTCTTGTTAATATGAAATTTATAAATTTTTACGTAAATTCATACATGTAGCAGCTGACAATTAAGTGCTACGCATTAATCATTCCAATTTGGGGTTGCAAAGCTAATGATAAGAGTAAGTAATTTCCTCCTAAACTTTTAATTACAAGTAAAAAAGAGACTGGCAAACAAAAGAGAAGCTTACTAGTTATCACTGGTACTCTTAAGTCTTGACCAACTAATGGTCGCGTCAGTACTTATCAACATCAAATTTTTATTCTGGAATATCATGAAAGCGAAGGTGTATGACCTAGACCGCCAGGTCCACCACCCAACCTCAATAAAAAAAAAAAAAAAAAAAACTTCGGAATTTATTCTCCTTAGCTTCTAGCCACTACGTGATTGGATTAGTGAACATAAGTTTAGTCAAGTTAGGTAGAGCAGTGTGTTACCTATCCTTTTATGCATTCAATCTCAAATTCCTCTTCCGTCTCACGTTGTAATTAATTTTGTGTTCCACGTCTATTGTACTAAAAAAAAGATTAATATGAATAAATGCGTTATTAACAATTTATCCAGTTAGAGATACATTTAAAATATGTTATATAGTTACTCTTATCAAATGCATTTAGCTAACTTGCAGACTCGCAACTTTGTAAACAAATTAACATGAGATCGTATACAGATTATTGGATCTAACTTGTTTATCAATGGTAGATAAACATCTAATCAAACTCGGAATGAGATCGAAATGAATCGAATTTAAAAGACTATATTATCATATGCATTTAACTTTACGAATAAGATAATTCATTAGTTTCACCAACTATATTTACGTTTAATTATTATCATCACGCTTGTTTTTTGCCCGCCACTCCTCTGCGCCACCGCACTGGCCGCGCCTCACCGCCCACAAAGCATACCGGCAGCAGTTACACTTAACCCACGTACTGTAACTGTAAGTCTGTAACTGCAAAATAAAATATAAAAAAAAATCTAAATAAATTCAGAAAACGAGTAAACCAATCCAAAACGACAACGCACACTCCTGTATCTGAATTCGAATTATCCAACGTCGAACGTAACTACCTACCACGTCTCGGATTCCCGCTGTAAAATCCGTTGTAAAGGTAAAAACGAAGTGGATAGAAAGTAGATAGAAAGAGGTTTATCGGAATCTTAATCCTACTAGGATGTTCTCCTTCCTTAATTCTCGTAAAAAAATATATATAAGTTCTTCCTTAATTTGCTGTTTAATTTATAAAACTCTCTCCTCCGACTCCTCTAATTTCTTTATCGAAACAGTGTCCTAAATTATTGTCTAATTATTTAGGATTCGACAATAATTGAAGAAGATCAGATTTTGTTCGCTTGCGTCAACGTCACCGTCACGGGGGCTTTGAGTTTTCTTTTAAGTAGTTGCAGAGGGTTCAGTTAATCCAGCAGATGGTACAAATGGCAAAACACGAAGAACTTCCGATTCCAATCCACGACACCCTCGACGCCGTCTACGGCAACTCCTCCCAACTCGACGAGGCCCAGCTCCGATTCAACCGCCTGAAGTCCAAGTTCCAGCAGGTTTTCGGTCACCCCCCTCAACTCTTCGCTCGCTCTCCAGGTGGGTCCCTCTCTCTCTCTCTCTGGGATTTTTCAAGTTTCGATTTTGTGCTCGTGTTTGAATTTGTGATCGGACAGGGAGGGTGAACTTGGTCGGAGAGCACATAGACTACGAGGGCTACTCGGTGCTGCCGATGGCCATACGACAGGACACCATTGTCGCAATTCGGAAGCACGACGACGGAGACGCCGAGAAAGTTCTCAGAATTGCCAATGTCAACGACAAGTACCAAATTTGTACTTACCCCGCCGACCCGACCCAGGTACCAAATTGTTTGACTTGATCATCATTCGTTTAACTACAACGTTATCCAGTTGCTATCGGAGTTCAATTTCGGTCAAAGTTTTTGACTTTTTTTTTGGTTGAAGGAAATTGACTTGAAGAATCACAAATGGGGGCATTATTTCATTTGTGGGTAAGACATAAAAATCCATGCTTTGATCTGTATGTTGACTAAATTTTAGATTTTTTTTTTGTTTCTTTTTGTTTGATGATGAAACATTTGGATAGTCAAACGTTAAAACTATGGATTTCTGATGTACGGCAGAAAGTGATGGATTATGTTGTTGTTCAGGTACAAAGGTTTTTATGAGTTTGCCAAATCCAAGGGAGAAAATGTTGGACCAGTTGGACTTGATGTTCTTATTGATGGAACAGTTCCTACAGGTGTAGTTCCCACCAATTAATATCAAATAAAACAACCTTAATGTTGTCAATTTTAAGGTTAATTA